GCACAGCAACTGCACCCTTGGGGCATGAGGAGGAAGAAAGGGGGTGTGGGGAGAAGGGCGAAGGGAGACAGAGGTAGGATGTTTTGTTTTTTAATGGCATTCAAAGTAGGAAGAAAACATAGTCTCAAAGGAAATCAGGATCAAACAAAAGAAGCTTTCTTACGATTGTTCCACTTTCGCAAAATATGAATTCAATTTTAAAAAGTTAATTTTAAAACAAAAGAAAATAATAGGACCAGGCACAGTGTATTCTCAGGAAATAAATCAATGTCAAGACAAACAGAAGTGTCTTAGAAAGATACAGGGCACGTCTGTAAAAGATCAAAGAGAAGGCTCACACGCATGCAGGTAAAGGAACAAAAGGCAGAGCGAAGGGCTGGGTAGGTGACCCAGTGAGCAAGCGTGCTTGCTCAGAAAGCATGAGGATCTAAACCCAGCGTCTATAGAATGCCATGGGCTGTGGGACAGAGACAGAGAGACAGAGAGAGACAGAGAAAGTGAGAGCAAGCTGGGAATGATATAAGCTTCGGAAACATCAAAGTCCATCTCTGACTTACCCCCTCCAACAAGTCCACACCTCCCAATCCTTCCCAAACAGTTCTACCAACTAGGGACCAATCATTCAAATATATGAGCCTATGGGGGACATTCTCATTCAAACCATCATCACCCCTTAACACAAAAGAGTCCATAAAACAACATAGCAACTATATTCCTGGCAAATGGTTAAGAACAATCAATACCAAGAAGAGACATATACTGATTAAGTTACTATAATTTAAGACTAAAGAAGGATCCTTTTGGCCTTGAGGTAAAAGTCACTTTTAGAAAAGAAAAATTAAAGATTCTTAATACATTTCCATGGCACCATTCAATGTTAAAAGAAAGCCCATAAAGTCCTGAGTAAAGTATTCTCCAAGCCCTTAAGCCCAGCCAGGCCACCTGTCCTGTTAACACTACAAAGGTAACAGTAGACAGTCAGTGTTAAAACATTTATGGCTGTCCTTGTATTTCTTACCCATTAAACACAACCAAGAACTGAGGGATGGGGATGTTATTTTAAGAACACTAGGTAAATGCAACAAATCTGAATATAGAATTTGCCTTTTGCAAAACAGAAACTAAGGCTTGCATCCCCCAACTAGGTAAAAATAGAGGGTACTAAACTTGGAATGTGGAGGGATGACAGAGGAAAGAGAGCGCCCAGAATGTGTGGACCCTTTCTTCCTACTGTAATTCCTTCGTCAATTTAGTGTGATACTAAAATGTGATTCAAGGACATTATAATTATAGTTTGTTCTGTGAGTAACCTTTTCACTATGAGACAGATCTCTTATGCATTAATATCGCTTCAGAGTGAAGACACATTTGCGAGAAGCTCAGCAGTTCCTTCTAGCATACTCAGATTTTTTTACTACAGATTTAAGGAGGTAAAATTTAATTCATTAAAAATGGAACAAGTAAGATATTTCATGCAGTATTGAATTATTCATAGCCAGTGAACTATCCTTTCCATAACATATACGTTAAGAAAGGTTGCGTGAAATGGTATTGAATTAAAGTAAATAATGTTTAGCTGTGGGTTGCTTTTAAAATAATCTATTCCTTATTTCATTCTACATTGCTTAAATATATTGTAGCTGCCAAGTAATCACTTTTAGAAGCTAAGTATCCATTCTAAGTTAGAAACTCTGAGATGACCTTTTGTTGAATTTTTAAATAATTTTATTTCATACTGTTATGCAAATAGACATAATGTATGTGGTATGTGCCATAGTTAGAGTATATAGGGAAAAGGACTTCTCCATGGACTTTGTTCTCTCCCTCCACCATTATGGGGGCTCCAGGAATGAACTCAGGTCATCAAGCTTGTGCAGAAAGACTTTTTTTTAAATCCATGAGCCATTTCCCTGGCCCTGGATTTTAAAACAAATATAAAATATTGGGACATTATGAGGTAATGTACACAACAGGTAAAGGTTAAAAATCACTCATAGTACAGTCTTCAGTGTCAACTAGAGCTGAAATGTTCCAATCGGAAGTTGGAAAGGACGTCATAACAACAGTCAACATTAATAAATAGTCCCTACATGTTCTCCCAGTTATTTTATGATCAGATGAATTGTGTCAAAACATTTAATTGGCCAGATGTTTCCCCTCTTTTGGTTGAAAATATCATTTTTTCTCATGTAATATATTGTGATTCTAGCTCCCCTCCCTCTACCCCTTCCAGCTCCTTCCCACCTCCCCTCCCATACAGATCATCCCCTTCTGCTTTTCATTAGAAAACAGTCTTCTATGGGAACAGAACAGAACAGAATAGAATAGATAAAATAAAACTAACGCATTGGAATTGGACAAAACAAACAAATACAGGGAAAAGAGCCCAAGAGAAGGCACAAGAAATAAAGACCCACTTGTCACACACTCAGGAATCCCATAAAATTACTAAACTGGAAACCATAATGTATTTGCAAAGGACCTGTAGGGTAAAAAGAGAGAAGAAAAATATAGACATAGTAAAAATGAATATAGAATTTAAACAAATAAGATTTTTTTAAAAAGGAAGAACCCTGACACAACATTATGAGTCAAGGCACCTCCAAAGCTGCCAATTGAGTTCATTTTCGGTTGGTCAGCTACTGCTGAGCATGCAGCCTACCCTTAAGAGTAGTTTGTCTCCCCAGTGTAGAAAACTCAGTTTTCATGTACAAGTGGTTTTCAATTGGAGATTGCTTCTGGGTTAGGGATTAGAGGCATGTGACTACTTTTCTTTTTAGCTCTAGACCCCAACGAGTACAGACTCCTGCAGGCCTGGTACATGCTGTCTCGATCTCTGTGGGTTCATATGTTGATTAGAGGGCCTTGTTTTCTTAGTGTCTCCTCTCCCCTCTGACAACTCTTAGAGTCTTTCTGCCTCCTCTTCCACAGGGTTCCCTGAGCCCTGAGAGGAGGGATTTGCTATCTCTTGATATCTCCTGAGTGTTCCAAGATCTCTCTCTCTCTCTCTCTCTCTCTCTCTCTCTCTCTCTCTCTCTCTCTCTCTCTCTCTCTCTCTCTCCATAATATCTGGCTGTGGTCTCTGTATTTGTTCCCATCTCTGGCAGGAGGAAGCTTCTCTGATGATGGCTGAGCAAGGCACCAATCTATGAGTATAGCAGGATGCCATTAGGAGCCATTTTATTGCTACATTTTTTTTTTGAAAAGTAGGATGTCATTAGGAGTCATTTTATTGCTATATTTTTTTTGGGGGGGGGAAGCAGTCTTTGTTTTACCCTAAGTCCCTGTGCTCTCTGGCCTCAGATTCTTAGTCACCCAAGCAGTATGTGGTTTCATCTCTTAGAGTGGGTTTTCCATCAAACCAGATATTGGCTGGTGACTCCCACAAACTTTGTGCCGTCATTGCGCTAGCCTATCTTGCAGGCAGGACACTGTTGTCACACTGTTGTCGAGCTGAGAGTTTATACGTGGGTTGGTATTTAAGTCTCTCCTTTGGTAGTGTGCAGAGTACTGTCCTGTCCAAAGATGTCAGCACGAAAGGATGCGGGCGGGCTCCAGGTAGGCACCAGCTCGACGTCTCCGTGTCCTGGGAGCTGTGCAGGTGTTGTCCTCAGCGACGGGGACTTGCCATCAGTTTGTGGAGAGAAGCCTAGTGACTTGGCAACAGCCTGCATTGCATGGGGGTTCCCATGGGACCTATTCAGCTTGGTTGGCTGGATTTTAAATTTAGGTGTGAAAAAAGAGTTACTTTTCCCAGCTCTGCTCGGTCATTTGTTCTAGCACCACGTTTTGTGTAATCTCCCTGTTGTGTGTTTTGAAAATCATCTTTTTACTGTGTTCCTACACATAGAATTAAATGCCCTGGGTACTCGTGATGTTACATTCCACTTTTTCAGAAGCTCCTTGGCTGCACAGCAGATACTCCACTCAGTCTCTGCCCCAGTGCCCACCTGTGCTGGGAATCTGCCTTTGTACACACTATCCTTTCCAGCCTTTGGCTCTCAGATGTGGCTTCTGTCTTCCATTACCAGATGATTCAATGGTCTCTTCAAAGATGATTTGATCCTGACACAAACAGCTTATTTACAAAAGGATTTCTCTTGTGCTCTTGAGCTGGAATTTTGAGAACTGCCAATCATATTTTTCTACTGACTTCTTAATAATAGGAACTTAATGATGCGAGATTTGAAAAATCAGCTAAATCTTTCAAGATTTATAATTGGATAAAATAAGCTGGCTTCTTAAAACAAAGTGACTTCGTCATTTAGCTGGTTAACCTCGGCCTATATGCAGATTCCATACATAAAAGATAATGAGACCCACTGTTGCTCAGTAGAGGTTTCCAGTTATGTACACACCAGCTCTACCAGTGCACCCTGGAATAAAGGTCTCCTTACTGAGCACCTGTCAAGAGGAGCCCTGAAGCCTTTCTGCCACAGCGTTAAACTCAGTCTCTTAGGGCATGCAGCTAAGAATGAGAAACAGAGTGTGATTCAATCTACTCCAGATGCAGTCAGAGCAGCACAGCAAATGAAGCCAGTCTTCTGCTGAGCCAGGGCCTCTTTCTCATCCAGAGTCATCATTGATGTGGGGATTGTCACCATCAGCCAGCTCCTGCCTGCTACAGATGACGCTGAACCTCATTTGCTTGCCTCTGAGAATTTCATTTTTGGCTCGGGAGCCCAGGCTCAAGTCAGAATGAAGGTGATGTGTGCAGAGCTGGTTCATCAAGTCAGAATGAAGGTGACGTGTGCAGAGCTGGTTCATCATGTCAGAATGAAGGTGATATGTAGCCCTGTTGATCGCCCATCCTTCCTAGACTTTCCTTCTAAGGAGAATTCACTAAAGCAAGGCCTTTCTACTTGCTTTAGGGAAAGGCAAATACAAGTGGCAAACTTCATGAAGAACCCTGGGTGGAAGAGAGGAAAGGAGCCTTTGCAGCTGGAAGGAAATGAAGGCCATGTTAGGAAAGGAGCGGGGCTCCCTGCAAACGCACGCACCTGAAGTTCTGCATGAAGTGCCGGAACTTGTCCACCCTTCTCGCTAGGGGCACGATAACGTTGATAAGCGTGGAAGCCATGTTGAGTTTCTCCTTTTTCACTTTCATGATGGGGCCAAATGGTCGAAATAGGACTAGTCGTTGGAATTCATGTTTGTGGTCCCCTTTGAAGGTGAGCTCATACAAAGTGCCTTTATCCCTTTCTGTCCGGTAGATCCCTACAAGGCAGAACAAGGAAAGATGGTTTTAGAAAAGTGAGCTTTGGCTATTCTTTCTATAACCAAGATCTACAACAAATGCCTTTAAAATTAATATTAGATCTCCATATTCTGTGATTAGAAAACCTGAAATATAATTAATATTTTTTAAAAACCCCGTCAGTCTAAAAATCAGTTATAAAACCCTCATAAAGCCACAGGGAATGTTTGTAATATTAGATACAAAACTATTTATATATTTAGGATCATTGAAAAAAGACTATTAGAAATGTAGAATAAGTCTGATATAATGTAGATTAGGATGTGTCCTTTACTGATATTGTATACATTTTATAAAGCATTATAATATGAACATTACTGTTTATTTAATTTAAAACTGTACACTAAAATTATCTCTGTGCAATTATATTCATTTCTGATGAATCAACTATAGTGATTTATGGGGCCATCTTGGAAGCAAATAGGGCTGTAAACATGTGCCCCTCCCATCCCAAAGCTTCCAGAAGTATTAAGACAACACTTAAAGTATCCAGTGTGACGGCAGGAACACATCATCCTGCCTCTAAGCAGTGTGATTAAGAACCCCAGAATACGTGTGTTCAAGGCCAAAACATATGTTAAAATTCTGGCTCCATGGTGGCACTGTGGAAAACTATTTCATCTTCCCATACCTCCTTTACCTCACAGAATAAACAGCATCTTAGTGGCATAATCTGGAGGCTGATGCAAGAAGATCACAAGTTGAAGGCTTGCCTGGGCTACAGAGTGAGTTCAAGGCTAACCTTTATTACTCAGTGAATCACTGATGTGCCTCAGTGATAGAAAGCTTGCTTAGCATGTGCCAGGCCCTGGGTTCCACCTCCAGCACCACCATCACCAAATGCTGGAGTGTTTACCAACAGGTCCCCACAGTGCTTGGCACATAGTAAAGCGTACATGAATGTTTCTCTCATCTTTACCCTCCCTTCTCCTGTCGGTGCTGATGAAACATGGTATATTAGGAAGGAAGAGAAACGGAGAAGTTTATTTATGTTGCCTTCACGTCACTGAGTGTCACCTGTCAGACTGAAGATGCAGCCTTACCATCTCACTCAGCTCTCAGGAGGATGCTCATTAAGGCCAACCTGACAGAACTGCCACATCTAAAGACTAAACAACTCCCTAGGCCCATGTTCTTCCCTAGGATCCCTGGCATTGTGGGTGTTTTCTTAAAAGTAGACAAAAGTTAGTAACATCCAACAAATTAGGAGAGAAGCTTTTATCTTTGACTTACGCCGTATTTCCCATTCTACAACTTCGTCTTATTCTTAAGTCCCACATTAGATGAAAATGTACCTCCTTGTCTCTGATTAGCTACAGAAGTAAATCTCCACGGGAACATTCTGGCTGATGGTGAGTTACGGCTCTCGAGGGCATCTCACAAGCCATTTCCCTTTTCTTCCTCACGCTCCTTCTTCGTTTCTTCTGTGGGAAACACATATCTTCTCCACACACATTGCCTAGTTCTCTTCTTTGTCTTTTGACTTTTGGGAACTTTTTCATCCTAGAGCTCTGGTCTTGTAGCCTCTTTGATTTTACCCAAGGTTTAGATCTCTCTGAGGTGTAGAAGAGTCTGGTACTGTGAATTTTCATTGTGTTCTCATTTCTTGCAGTCATCCAATGGGCCTGATTAAAATTCAAAAGGCACAGTGTACTGGCAGCGAGCAAGGGTGACTGAAGGAATCAGTTCTCTTCTGAAGCCTTTGCTGCTTCCTGGGGTACAACAAAGGGACATCCTGCTCTGCTACCCGCAATGTGAGGGCTGCTGGGAGAATAACTGAGCTCCTGTTGGTAAAGAACTTAGTATCTTTCTTCAGCCAATCAAAGAAGAGAGGAAAAGATTTATTCCTTTGGAGGCTCTAAGGACTTCTTTGGAAACATCAGATAGTGCCTTCAAAGTCCGTTAATTCTTTTAGGTAATTAGTCCCAAGAAAGGAAAGAGGACTCTAATGATGTCTACGGCACTGGGTTAGACTACAGCATCTTCACACAGCCCAAATGAGGCCCTGCTGAGTCACACAGAAGTCCAATAGGCACAGAGGTATATCTAGCTACACACTTGAACAGCCCTTGAGGTTAGTGGCTGAGCCTTGACAAATGCTTCTTCTTCTTCTTCTTCTTCTTCTTCTTCTTCTTCTTCTTCTTCTTCTTCTTCTTCTTCTTCTTCTTCTTCTTCTTCTTCTTCTTCTTCA